CGCTTGCTAAACTAAGTACACGTGCTACATTTGCTACGCTTGCCACGCTTAGTTGACTTGTTACACTAAGCACGCTTGCCACATTTGCTACACTTAGTTGTCTACTCATAACCTTTTTTACACCTATTGCAGACCAGTAGACCAGTATACAACAATTAGTAATATGTATTATAATTGCATGTCGTGTCACTTGGTTTGATATTTCGAAAGTTTGCAATTCCTAATATAAAACTATTGATCTCTTACAGATTGCACTTGTCATACCACAGAAATGGTTGAAATAACAGTTGAAGTGACTGGTTTTTTGGTGCTCCTACATGCCCAAATTAAGAAAAACCGAGATTTTCAATCAGCCAATCATAGAGCCGCTTCAGCGAGGTACTGTTTGAATCAATTTCTTTTGCAGTTGCAGTCATAAAAAATTGAAGATAGTTTGCTGCCGTTGTTTGTTTCCCTTTTTCTTTTTTTTGACGAACTCTCGCTGAAACATGGTCTAGTGGAATTTCTGTCGGTTGCTGAACCTTTGAAGGATCTCTGGAAGTTTCTTCGTCTGTTCTCGAGACCAAGGAGCAGTCAACAACACCGGATGAAAATGGTCACCATGTAGACGACATCTAGAGATTGTGGCGCGCAATGGCTTGGAGAATTAACAAATAAGGTGGAATATTCAAGAAAGGAGCAGCCTTCCCTTTGCAGAAGCGATACCAAATTCCCGTCTCCTACCTTCGTACTGGTAGTTTTGCCGCTGCCGCTGCAGAAAACTTGTGCACGTACGACGCTGCAAGAAAAATCACTGACAAGTTTTTGACGACTGGCCTTTTTGACCCGGGAAACCGAGGTTCTCCTCCGACGATAATGCTGCCCTGGAAAGTAGCCTATCTAGAAGCCCTTGTTACTCACGATCCATTTATGTATCTGTGTGAAATGCAGGTAGCCTTACGAGACGACTTGAATTTACCTCCTGCTGAAGTACCTTCTCTTCCGACCATTTGCAGAACTCTTCTTAGATTTGACACGCCACAAGGCATCAAAAGTTCCCCTGGAGAGATTTACACCCGAGAAGAATGCTCGACGAAGGAGTTTTGTAAATTGGCGACGAACTGTAGATCCGAGGAAGCTGTATTTTGCCGATGAAACTGCCATACAATTCGTGAATGGAGTGCGAACTATTGGACGCTGCCATACAAATGCCAATGTTTCCGTTGTCACCAAACGCGGAGACGAGCGAGAGAAAATGTCTGTGTTGAGTGTGATCGGATACAACGAGGGGGTTCTTGGAGCATATCCTATCTACGGAAGCTTTAAGAGCGGCCGTCTGTAAATATCGAGAATTCGCCGTCAAAACCGAAATTTCGAAATTCTTCATACTTGGTCAGAAAAAACCCTTTCGTAAAACATTTTCGAAAATTTCAATCAAAGTTTCCAAAAAAATTTCTTTTTGGAGAAATTGAGCAAAACGTGAAATCCTGTGTCAGCGTCGCAGCCGCCATAAAAAATTACTGCAAATTAGCAGTTTTACAAGTCGCTGGTTAAAATAGACGCGTCAACGTAACAAAATAATCTTTTGCAGGTGAGTGTGGCATTACAAGAACAACTCAAAAATGTAAAAATATTTCAAAAGAACTTTTTTTCTTGCATTGTTTTCGAAGCGCCGAGATTCCTTGTCTTTGGGCCAAGACGAACACTGAAAATTGAGGAAACTTTGAAGGTAAAAATCGTAGCTTGGTACATGGAAATTCCTAATAAATTTTGTGTTACAGTAAAGCTCTAATGTTGTTTTAAAACATACAAAAAATCTGGCTTGGGTAATTTAAAAGTCTCCGCTTGAGAGAGGTAAACGCATAGTGAGTTTTAACGTGTTTACATGAAAGTATTGCAAAGGTCACGCAAGTACAAGATCACCCGTAATTGTCGATAACATTGTAAATCGCAATAGCTGTTGAAGTAAAAAGAAGGAAACTCTGTCGAACGTAAAATTTAATGCTTAAATCAATCTTTACAGCTTTTATCTGTTATCATCCAGATATCTAAATTGTAAAAAAAAAAATTCGTGACCGCAACCAGAGGTCAAGGGCCGTTTGAAATTTGAGCAGCACGTGACGAAAGTGATAAACACTTGGAAAAAATCAATCGAAATTTCTACGAAGAGTACGGAAGAGTGCTGGAGTACTGGACTAGCTGATTACCTCTTTACAGGTTTTATAGGTACTCTCGGAAATATCTACAACTTATTCAAATTGCTGACTGCAGCTGTACTTACTAGAACAAGAACATGCACTGATCTGTTATGTCGCACCCTTCAAAGTATCGTTCATTTCTATTCATTCGTTGCACTCATTCTTAGGCTGAAAGTCGTTAACTTCTTAAAAGCCTTCATGGATAAGATATACTTAAAAGGACTAATATATAGCGCATATAAGCATTTATCAAAAGGGTTGACACAGCAAACTAACTTCCTTTTAAAATTTAAAAAAACGTAAAAAAAAATGTTCGTTACGCAAAACTGTTATTTATGATAATAAAGATTCACGACTCCTACCGGTCCAGTTTAATCACAATCTCCTTTTACATACCTGTCATACTCTAAACATGCTCTACTTAAAGCAATTTGATTTTTTAACGTTCTTAAAATCATATTATTCATCATTTTCTCCGGTTATCTCGTATCCTTTTTCAAGCAGTGATCCACGTCCGTGGTGGAAAGTGGAGTGCGGAAAATACCGTAAAATTCCGAAAATAATCCCCTCCATGTATAGGCCCCTCCAAAACCGATAACGCAAAAACCCCTCCGTTAAATCGCCCCTCCAAATATAAGCCCCCCGGGGGCTTGTACTTGGAAAATTGCCCCCAAATACAAAGTAAAACAAAGCAAAAACGGTAAATTTACCTCCAACTATAAAGCTAGCCCAATCGATTTGGAAACGCAAATTTCCCTCCTTAGATAAACCCCTCCGAATATAAGCCCCTCCAAAAATAAGCCCCTCAAAAAGGGTCTTTGAAAAATATAAGCTGCGGGGCCTATTTTCGGAATTTTAGGGTAACTACAATTTTATGAAAGAAGGGGTGTAAGGTAATTTCTTATAATTCATACGAAATCAAATTTTCAGTAAAAATCGAAAATTGATAATTAACTAGAGCCGTTCATAGGTACTCTCTAGGGTGACTCGACATCCATGCAGGTGCATTCCTTGACAAGCTCTTTCAACAGGTTAACGTATGGAGCTTTCCGCCGTACTGGTGGAACAGGGACAGGTAGGCCAAGCTCCGCACAACAGCATTGCAGCTCATCCAATTTCAACTTTGAGAGGGTGTTTCGCCTAACCAACTCGCACAAATTATTTTGGCCACAAACTATGGGATGGAACAAGTTTAGTGATGCCAAAATTGATTGCCGTGCGGTGACGAAGTTTTCCTCCTCGTTAGCCGCTGTGATGTCCTCTTCCTCGAGTACTGGTTCACCAACTGTTTGCTGTCGTACCTTTGCCGCCAGCCTTGAAAAGAAAGATGACACTTGGAGGGGAGTAAGAAATTCTGAAATTGTAAATAGGCGCACACCGTTTTCATCTTTTTCTCTTCGCATTTCTTTTGCAACCACCTCTGGATCCACTTTTCGGCCCGTACCCTGCCCAATATTAAACTTTTCAACCAAGTACGACTTCTGCTTGTCGCTGAAACGATATGGCTTCTTCATTTGCTTTAAGGCCCAACCCTCTTGTAATCGTTCTGTACATGTTGAGGCTGAAGTCCCCGATGTGTTTGGCAATGTTGGAATCTTGCCAACTCCCTCCAAAAGGCGTGTGGCGTATTCTGTTTTGGCACGGTCCAGAAGTGTCGCTCTTTCAACAGACTTTGAGCATCTCTCAAAACTCAAATGGTTTTCCAGTGCGCAATGTCGCTGGAATACACGAGTGCAGCCATCTTGTGGGCAGCTGTAGGTTGCCGTTGGGCGTGTCTCGAGTGGATTATTTGCGGCTGCATGTTCTTCAGGTTGGGATTCCCTTGCTGGCTTAGACTGCTTGCTAAGCGATTTGAAATCGCCGTTCGAAAAGGGCGCCCTTAGCGAATACATGTTTGAGTCTGAAACGAAACACCAGCTTAAATAAAAATTATGATTAATTTATAATATATATTCGCCGTTTATGATTAACTTTAATCACCCGACTTACCTACATCACTAGCTGGCGTTAACCAATGCATTTTCGGAAAATGCCGCCTATATTCAATCACTGCCGTGCTGCGGGCAGCAGCACGGCAGATCTATCGCTGTTTTGGCATAAATGTAGAACACAAGAAAATCGCGAAAGAAATCATGGCTATGTGCGAAGAGAAAATAGCTGAATTATTGACTAAAAGTGAACGGAACGTATGTACGAATATTCATGCTCGTTGGATGTAACACATGTGTCTCCTTTTTTGAGAAAAAAGTTCCATGCATTCATATTCTGACGATAAGAAACTTCCGCCTTCTGCATATTTCCAGCCTTGTTCAATAATTGTTGAATTAATCTAGCTTACTTTAAGCTGAAACATGTCAAGATGTAAAAGGCACCTTGGAAAGAGCAAATAGCTCATACCCTTTGAACCTTTCTATATTCCCTTTGCACGTACAGGTGCTTTGGTGCAAGGCAGCACTATTGTAAATATAATCATTTATACTCGAAAGGAAATACATATTTTTATATATAAAGCCTTAAAACTACCTCCTTGTCCGTGCTTTGTGTTGATTTTCCTTCCTTTGCCTATTGCGTAAGCTCGTCTAGCGAAGACGCCATCGTTCTTAAATTCAAAGTTATTAAGTTTATTTATTCCAGGGATCTTCCGTTGTTCTGGGGTCTCGTTAATTGAAGCTTCAACAACTGCAACTCTGACGCCTTCGACTCCGCCATGGGAAAGGATCGCGGTTTTCATCTGCTGCGCATTCGTTACATCATGGCCCTCGTTTATATACCTTCTGATATGATTCTTACAGGTAGCAGACATACGGTCGGCTGGACCCTTTCCTCCCTGAGGGTCTGAAAAGTCTACTGCAAGGATACGCATTCCAGATGAAGACTGGATAGCAGGTATGGCTAGAATTGTCGTGGCACTGTGGTAGCACCCTGCATTGTCTTGTCGCAAGTACACCTGCTGGATCTCGGGATGTTCACTCTTCAACGTACGTAACGCATGTTCCAGGAGAAGAACGACGGTGAAACTACCCTGGTTACTCGACTGTAAGATTTGAACAAAGGTTTGGGTTTGAAGTTGCGAACTGACTCTGCGTACCACAGCACTGATGTGCCACGACATCCCGCGCTTTCCGAACCAATCACTTTGAGTCTCTCTAAAGTGTTGGGGTAAGAATTTCATCGCCCAGTCGTTGGTTATAAGACAGGTTTTATCGTCTAGGCGGTCGAGGACTTCGAGGCGTGCCTGGTCCTGTCTCACGGTGCCTATCTGATGGCACTTCCACAGAATGATAGCTTGTCGCACATGCTGAAATATGTAGAGAGCTTCATCTCTTTCTTCTGGTAAAGAGAAACTAGCACCCTGAACAACTTTCTCTATGGAATCTAGGAGCTCATCTAAGGCCTCACACTGGCTGCAGCAATCAGTATGGGCGTGGTTGCATTTCTGCCTCATGGATTCATCTTTGGGGTCACTCAGAGCATATATGCAGCAATGATCAGGGACGCATGAGTCTTCACTGATGTGGACCTAAGAAACAGCAGCAATTGCAAACGAGAACATGAGTCTGGTGTTTTCTGTATACCGTTTAGTTAATTTTGGAGGTCCATGATTGGAGGAGGCATTTATTAGATAGGAGGTGTTTAAAAGAGAGAGGCGTTTATTCTCGTAGCTATATCAAGCTCAACAAAACTAATATGCTATGGGCGAAATTATCAAGAGAGGCACTCCATCAATTGATACGTGTACGCCGTCTAGATATCCACTCTTTCAAAATTTACGTCAGAATCCTCCTTCAGAGTAAGTGATTTGCCATTCGTTAGTCTATCCTTACTTTGAACTTGACATTAAACATGATACACTACGCAAAACCTTGTTAATCAAGCAAGAAACTGAATAAATTGAATGATGTTGCGTCATTTCGCTTATTCCTAGTTTTATTAGAAAAGAGGGGTTTATTTGAGAGT